TCCTGAAACTCAAGCATCACAGGTGGACGATAAAATTCCAGGGAAAGAAAATTCCTGAGCACCGGTGATTGTGGGGCAGAATCACGTAGTAGGATGAAACGATTGTCGACATAACGCTCGTGCCAGATCACCCCGACATCGGGCATGCGAAAACGTAAAGAACACATTGTTTGGTGCCAGAAGAAGTCCTCCACCGTGGCAACCAGATTGCAGAGAGGTGGTGCTGCAGGTGATCCCATAGCGACTCCACGTTCTTGCCGGAACAAGTAGCCATTGATCTCGAAGTGACTGTTGTCAATGACAAAGTCAAGGAGGTAACGAAGGTCTTGTTCACGAAAGGTTCGAGGGACCTTAGTTTGGCGGCGCCATTTTCCTTTGAACATACGGCGTCGATGATCTGACTTCAATTCGTACACCGACCATTGTGAGGATCGGCGGAGGCCAACTACTTGGTCATAACGATGAAGAAGCACCTGTAGTGCCTGATGGAAACGCTCCGTGGGAATGGACGTGAAGAAACCGGACAGGTCCTGAGACACCAGGTGGATGTATTCGGCGGGATCTGCCTTTGACAGCGCGTCCCAGAGCTGTTGGACAAGTTCTTGGACCGAAAGCTGACCTGGTATGTCAGGAAAGGTAACTTTGGTAAGTTCAAAAATGAGGGCGCCGAAGACCGTGAGGAAGGGTGCTGCCCACGTGCGAAAGAAAGAAATGATGGGTCTTGCTTTCTGCCAGTCCTTGGTCGGCTTTGGAAGGATGCGAGCTGTAGGCAACGGTGCTTGAAGTCGAAGTCCCCACGCGTAGCGCTGATGTAGGAGGGAAGGTATCGTAGTGACCACTTCGGAGCGAAAAGATGCTGCAGATTCCCGACACAGCGAAAAGACCTCTCCCGAGCAAAAGGTCTTGTGCATCAGTATGGCAAACAACGAAGGACAAATCACATGTGCACGAGAGGGGAAATGATCCGCTGGAATTACAACCCACGAGGACAGAGAAGCCACGGTGCGTTGTAGTGATGTGGATGTCCAGTAAGCACGATCTTGAAGGTTGGATCGATGGGTATCAATCAACTGAGTCAAAACAGGCCGTAGATCAGTAAGAAGACTGGAGCCATGTACATGCCACCGACGAGCTAGTTTGCGAAGCTGTGTGAAATACTGATCCTTCATGGACGCGGCCATGATGTCCATGTCGATGTCCGCATTGATGCGTGAGAACTCATCTACCATTACTACATGTTCATGTGCACGGTGTAGGTGGTGATCATCAATGTCCGAACAGCGACACGGAAAAGATATGTCAGGAGTCCATCTGCGTTGCCATGTGCGGTAGTTGTAGATCCTGTCTCCCAAAGTGGCACTGCGAGTTTCCACCACCCGGATCTTTGGAAGAAATAGGGAGGGGAACAAGTCACGATGTGAAGCGACCCAACGTTGTAACCACGTGCCAAGCTGAGCTTTCCAATTCCGTACATGTAGAGGTAGTTGTGTCAAAGTGCTTGGTGATTGGAGCTGTCGTTTGCGCATCACCTGGGCGAGGAGCTTCTGTGCCTTTGAACGAAAGGGCTCGTTGACGAAGACGGAGAGTCGCAGGAAGTAGTAGAGCTGAGTGGGACCTCCGGAAAAGCCGCCGACAGTAAGTCTCGCATGGCCTGGAACGACGCGCCTGTGTTGGATCCCAGCTGATAAAGAGTGGAGTAATGCGCTTGAATGTCATCCAACATTTCAGGTCGTAATTGCCGTTGAAGATCTGGATGTAGTCGTCGTCGAAAACGTTTGTGTAGCCCGAGTGAGGTGGGAGATGACAACGAATGACGTCGAAAGTCAACTAGATGCTCCCGGAAGCCCACCTTTTGAAGAAGTCTATGTACCCAGGGTGCATTCAAATGCGGACGTATTGCCACTTGCTTTCCTGGACCCAAACCGAGGAAATGGGAAGTTTGATCTCAACCGGAATGGCACAGAAAAGCCAGTAAGTGTTGGTGCGCTTCCAATAGTGAAGTACAGGTTCGAAGAAGGCATGACGTCCCCGAAGTAGTTGTAGAAATTTGCGACTGCGTGAGTGTTCTCGTCGTAGAACATCCTGATCAGTTGCACCAACGTAGTATGGAGTGTGCCATGGAGAAAGTCGGATGTAGACGCATGGTTGTTGATGGTGACCTGGATCGTGAATGAAGTCATAGAGGTCCGGGAAACGTGTCCGTAATGAGCGAAGATGTCTTGTGTCTGCAAAGGTGGAATGCATAATTTCACACAACAGAGACGTCTTGTAGAAGTGAAGAACCTCGAAGAACGGCGGGACATATCCATAATCTTGAGAAATGAGACGCTGCAAGAAACTGATCAATAAATGGGCCGTGCACCGGCACCTGTGAAGTTCATACCTGTTGGCCACAGTGTGGTAAGACTGTGACATGGCATGAATCGGAATCTGAAGTGCAATCCGGACCACAACTAGTACCTCCAGAACGTGGCCCAACCAAGGTAGTTGTACAACTGACTCATATTCATCCATTGGTATCGACGGTGGTGGAAGTCCAGGAAAGCAGTATTGCCAGCACGTAGAGAACATTGTCAACGAGTGCAGAAAGGTGTCTAAGGAATGCCATTGCGCAACATCATCATAGATTCCACAGCGGCGAAGCTCAGCCAACATGGTGAACATGCAACCAATGAAATCTACAGTGTGGCGGCGACATGAATGCAAGCGGCAATTAATACCAAGCAATTGACAACGCAAGCACAGACAAGCGCATCATCAAACAAGTGCAAAGCAAGAAGAGGACGGACGAGTTTTGAACCTTTCCTCAATCGTGACACAGCTGCCGCTCCGGGCTCATAAGTGAACGAAGGGAACTGCTCACCCACTGAGTAAGCGGGCGGTCACGATGAGGTGACACAGCGCCTTGTCAGTGAGCTTGGTGAGGTAGCCAGGCTCCAGTCCCACAGAGCCGCCATCGCCGCAAACGTAGGTGCGTCTCCTTTTGGCATGCGTTGACGCGCCTGAAGGAGTTGCATCGCCATGCAATCCAAGGACTTGTTGCCGTTGAGACGGGACGGGTGATTGGCCCACTTGATCAATGACGCCAAAGTGGTGGTTGTGGGCGATTGCTTGAGATACAAGCGTGGCTGATCACTAGTCCATGTGTAGTACTTGATGACGTCATCCGGCGTGCTGTGCATGGTGAGCAATTTTGACGCCGCCGGCTTGGAAGGCGGTGAAGAAAGTCCGTGAAGAGACTGAATGATCCGGGGTTGCACCGCGCCATCAAACGACTTGCCATCAAGGGCCGCTGCGCTGACCGTAGGGAGGGAGCTGGGAGGTGACGAAGATTGTGTGTGGTTGACCGGTGGTGGTGTAACCAACTCTGCATCATCCTTCTGGTTTGGCACCGTAGGGGAAGTCGAAGCGCGTAACGATGCTGAATACTGTGCCTGGAGCAACTCATGAGCACGATTTAGATCATTGAACTTCTTGACCATGTCATCCGTTTGGGTAGAGGGCGTGAGAGTGGCGTGGTGTTGCTGAAGAAACTGAAGCACCAAGTTGGCCAAATGGTCATGAACCTTGATCCGCTGATTGAAGTCGTCCAGGTTGAGCCCCAGTGAGCTGGCAAGGTCCTTTTCCAAGGTAAGCAGGTTGATCGACTGCGATCGTCGTAGTAGTTTGGAACAGGTACTCCAAAGTAAGGCCTCGGTGCGAGTGCGAAAGCCTTCCCACGTCACTGCCGTGAGCAAACGGTCGGAGCAGCCAGTTGGTGATGCCCCCGTGAATGACCTGAACCAGGCGAACGCCACGAATGTCCATGCCGGACATGTCACGTAGGTTGTTGTGCGGGGTGTTGGCGACCGTCATGGGCAGGCTGAAGTTGTAGAGCTGGTTGATGTCTAGCATGCCATCTCCAGGTGTCCAGTCAACCGATGGTGTAAGCCAGGCTTTCTGAGGTCGAACTGGCAGGGCTGCAGGGTATCCAGGTGATGGTGTAGCTTGCGAGGGAGTGACCGGTGGTGGCATCACGGGCGTCATGAACTTCGCTGGCGTGGGCTCTGGAGGAACCGGCATCATGTAGTTGACCGGTGAATGATGGAACTGCTGCGTGGGGTTTGGAATCGATTGATAATTGCTCGGCATCACCGGGAAATTGTTGCCGGAGTTGTAGCCGGAATTGTGTTGCCAGGATACCAGGTTGTTCCAATCCATGCCCTCCGAGACCTGGTTGTCATTGTGTTCACGTCGGCGTGCTTTACGAGCTTGAGGGGAAGGACTCCGATCACGTCTGCGCCGAGTCCTGGATCTGTCACGATCATCACGTCGAGACATGGTGGCGCAACCAACTCACAACCGCAACACCTCAATCTTGAGAGAAACGAATCCGACAAAATGCAAGTCAATGCAAGTTCAAGTCGGCAGCCATCGGCAGCAATGGTGAGACGTCTCTATGATCTGACGGCTGTCTTCCCTTTAGTGAAACCTCGTTCCTGGTTAAATGTGAAATTCCGCTGTTCTATGATAAGTACGTTGAGGTCAAATTTTCCGACAAAGCCGGCCCGGGGTCACACAATGGGTACACCCGAGGATTCCCCATGAATGGGGTGTACACACTTAAACTCCAGATGGAGGGTGCTAATCTTTCGAGTACAACTGATGAGTCTCGAGTACAACTGATGAGTCTCGACTGGGTTCTGCTGGCCAAAAGGACTTTGCATCACACGAAATGCACAGGTACGTCGAGGTGATCAGCCTCGATATCACAGGACAAGTGCGGCGTCTTCGTTGGATGCCGACCGCACAGGTCCCCAGCATCCCCCTGTGGTAAAGGTGAAAGCTTGATGTTGGTGACAGGGTATTCTGTCACTCCGCACACACACACACACACACACACCCGCGAGCACGCGCGCGCGCGCCGCTACATGGCCGCCCGTGGCCGTTGCTCCTGGATCCCTTCGGCCCTGCTGCCTGGGGCTGCCTGGGGCTGCCTGGGGCTGCCTGGGGCGCCCAGCACCAGGCGCGGGGGCTGCTGCTTCACCATGGCGCGCCGCTGGTGGCTCACAGCCTGAGATGCAGAGAGTCCAGGGGGCCCAAGCCCTCGGTGCCGTCCGATCTGAGCACAACGAAATCATGGGAAGTGCGACCAGTGGCCTGGTGGCCTTGTTTGGGGTTGACCCCGTGTTTGGGCACCCAAAAAAAAAAGGGGCGCCACTGGAGAGATGGAGAATTGATACCCAGGCGCATGCTGTTGAGCAACTGTTTGGTGAGTCAGAAGAAGGGAGGCCACAGCATCCAAAAGTGAATCAAAAGAAGTACTGGCCCGAGCCGACCCTTGTCGACAAGCTCTCGCCAAGCAAAGGGGTGCGGGAGCTCTCTAGAAACCCGGAAAGCAGGCAAAACGGTGATGTAGTTCAACTTTGCTGCCCTCCCGGCATGCTTATTCTCTTCAGCAATCAAAGGGCAGTGCCAAAAGGCGTTGTGTGACTGATTAGCTGTTGCTTATGCGAATGGAAGGTGTGGGTCGGTTGTCTGTGCCTGCGTGACACTGTGGTTGCGATACTTTGCTTGGGGCACAGGCAGCCCGGAGACAGAGACGAGACTTCGCGCTTCAGCCACTTTCAGCTCGTCCAAAGGATTGAGCCCCCGGACCGTTGAGGGCGTTGGTGGTGGCACCTCCTTGACCTCAGCGGTCGCCCGAATTCTAAGCCTTGCTTCACCTGAATATGGGGGAGGGGGAGAAATTTGTCTCAAAAACAGGGAGCTTGACAGCCTTGGAAACAGGGATGACCCTCCAAACTCACTACAGATTTGCGAAAAACAAATATGCGCTTTTGGAGAACCCTCCCCCCCTCGCCCTTTCCGGGTTCCATCTCTATGCGCGCATAAGATACTTCCCAACTTCCTCGCCCATGCAAAGCCAACCGGAGAAACTGAGTGGAAGCCACAAATATGTTGCAACTAGAAATCCTGGAAGAACCCTCACATTCGCCGTGTTTTGCCATGGCCTTGTGGTTAACAATTGGCCGACTTGCAACATGAAAGTTGCCCTAGAGGCGAATTCTCAATGCCGTTCGGCCACTTGGGACTGGGAGTCCCACGCGGGCGTTGTTGAGGTGGTGGGCCATGTAGCCCTCAGCCGGTCGACAGGGGCCATCCCACCCAATCCCCCAGCGGCAGGAACCGAGTCATTTTTGGAGGGTACCGTTTTAGGGCCCTGGGAGCTCTAGAAAGGAAACCATGTATTCATGCCCTTTTTCAGGGATCCTTACATGATCCACCTGAACATTGCCTTTGTCAATGGTGGTTTCCCCTTGTTTGGGTGTTGAAAAAGCCACATGTTTCGAATGGTGGCAAAATGTATCTGCCTTGGTTTCCCTTTATTTTGGTGTTGAAAAAGCCATTTCAAGAAACAAAACGTATCTTTTAAGGAGCCCTGTTTGAGAGAGGCCGCCAGGTTTCGGCAGCTTTGGTCCGTGGGCTATCGAGGCTGGGGCGAAAGGATCGTCGGGCTTCTCAGCCAGGACGCCTCAGGCGAAGAAAGGCTCTGCCAGGCAGAGGGAGCCATTGCAAATGACTACCCCCTACTCCAAATACCCACTTTTTTCAGGGCATGTTTGCTTGAAAAACCTGGGTTTCCATGGTACATACCTCCTTTTTTTGTAGAGGGTCGACATCATACCCTAGAAAAAGAGGGTATGTGGAGCAGGGGGTATAAGTTTATAAGTGACTAGGGGCACCAAATACTTTCCATGAAGTTCACCTAGCCTTGCTGCTCTGCACTGGTATCAAGAAAGAAAAGCTCCGCATCTCGACTTGGGCATCCGAGGCACTGGTGATCAGATTCTGAATGAAGTGCTGCAGCTCGTGCTTCTTCAGGTAAGCCTGAGGCCCCCGACTGCGCTGACCCCAGACCCTTGAGACGTGTAAAGAAAGCACCCAACCGAAATGGAGACTGCCTTGAGGCCAACAATGTGATTCCCTCCCTGAAAGAATCGCACAAATATCAGCCGCACCTCTGTATCGTTCACCGATTCCTCCGTCGCTTGCCTCAAGTGCAACCGCGGACAAGGTGCCAAGGCCTTGTTTTCTGAGAAGCGCAGGTGTCTCGAACATGTTTGGCGCTTCCCCTTGCCGGGCCCCGGGCGGCTTGTCCTCCGTGGCCGTGAGATCCCGAACCACCAGGTCCATACCCATCCTCGAACTCGCGACGCGGCCGGCGCAGGTTTTCGACCCAAGCCGTTGGTGTTCGCAGAGGTTCGCCAAGTGGAACCCCCTAGAAAAACACAGGTGAAAGCAAACTGCAGACTTGCAGCGACCCTCTTTCTGCCTTTTCGGCACCTAGGGCACCGCGCTGCTTGCCTTCCTTCTCAAAGCTCACGTTGTAGCGGCCGCTCTGCGGTCTCAAAACCTCGCCGATTTCACTTTAGGACTCATTCGGGGATCAGGACTCATTCGGGTGTCAAACAGGAAAATGGCAGCGTTGATGTGGGTTTGTTGTTGGCCATCCATGTTCTTCGGGAGTCCAAACTCAAAATGATCCGTCTGTTGGCTTCCTATGCGGAAACTGGAATGCTATGATGCATTCACTCGCTTGGCTACTGTGGCTCCCCTTAGCTCGGCGACTTGACAGCTGCAGCCCGAAGGGAAAGGAGCCACTAGAGCAAAAGATATGTTCGTAAGCGTAAATCTAACAAGGCATCACCGGCACAAACATCATGGTCAGGCGAGTGGGGTTTTAGGGGATTCTTTCTGGGCTTCCCGGTCTTTCTGGAGAATGAAACTAGCAATGGGGGATCTCCTGCGACCATTTAGCTCAAGAAAGCGCCAAATGGAGCCGCTTGAAAATCCGCCGATCGAACGCTTGCCCGTCTCTTGAGCTTGGTCTTAGGGTCGACCCGTAAAGAAAGATAAAGGCAGTTTCCCGCGCCCAATGCCAAAGGAACCGTCCCTGTAACTTGTTACCTGGAAATAGACCTCAACCCAACGCAAAAAAAAAGACCCTCTGTGTGGGTGTGGGTGTTCTTTTTTGAGGCTACCCATGTTTTGTGGTAGTCCTTCCTTTGGTGGTTTCTAAGGCAAACAAAAAGTTTTGCAGGGAAGCCTCGGGCTTTGCTCGCAAAAATCCAGCGTTGTTGTTTTTTGTGTGTTTTCTTCCTCTCTTTTTCTGCAGAGGGGGGGGGGGGGGGAAAAAAATGGTAAAAGTAGGGGGCCTGGGGGGTGGCCTGTTGATGGTTGCCTGTTCTGGTTTTTATGTTCATCTCAAATCTGTGTTCCCCCTTATTCGTTTTTAAAAGAGGGTTTTCGGGGAGCTTATTTATCGTTTTCGTTAAGGTAATCATTTGGGTAAATTGTCGCCTTGTTCATTGTTGGGCTGGGGGCAAACATTTTTTTCATTTGAAAGAGGTAGCCCTTTTAGTAGTTATCAAGTTCTGGGGTGTTGGCTATCTTTTCGGGTTTGGTCATCGCTCCGTCGCTTTGGTCGCGCCACGGCTTTGACCTCTATGACATCTTCATCGTTTCTAATTGTCTGGTGCCCCAGTTATCAGTCAGACAGTCAGACAAGTGCTCTTCCATGAGCGACCATCTACTGATTTCAGTTTGACTTGACGCCATTTCCTTTTCAGAGTCTTAGTCTTTCCTGACTGACACCTGCTCTCTCATTTCTCACAAGTATCATGTCGGTTGGTGGCTACAACAGCGAGGAGGTGGACCGTGAGCTTGCTGAGCAACTTCAAGAAGCAGAAGTTGCGGAGGGGGTGCCAGAGCAGACTTCAGAAGATGAGGAGTCAGAGGAAGCCGAGGAGGAGGGCGAGTTTCAAGATGATACCATCACCATTGTCTTGTCTGACACAGAGTGGTCAAAGATTTTGAAGCGCTACCCTATCACTGACGAGTTCAAGGCAAAGATTGAGAACATCAGCAACCCCGAACAGCTCCAGAACATCATCAACGACATGGCCAGGGATATCAACAATGAGATTATCAAGTTGAAGGCGACGAAGGCGATGAAGGAGCGCCTCAAGACCTTAATCAAGAAGGCCAGGGATGCTAAGGTCAAGAAGGAGCAGGGTGGTGAGACTACACAGGCAAAGAAAGGCAAAAGCATGTACACGGTGGCCATCTCGTTCAATGGGCGTCGCTTTGAACTCTCACTCAAAGGACGTGCAACATACAAGAGCATCAGGGAGGCTCTCCGCTTCAACTTCCCCAAGGAGTTCCCTTCCGAGAAGACCTTCAAGAAGCTGACTTTCACAGTGGAGGGCGCTTCTTCCAGTATGACGGCAACATTGGGAGCAACGAGGACGGAACTGCTGGCATGGGGGGCTACAGAGAATGCTCCACTCGTCATCAACGTGGTCGAGAAGTCTGGTTCAACCGCTTCAGCTTCCACAACGGGGGCAACCGCTTCGACTTCCTCAACGGGGGCAACCGCTTCGGCTTCATCATCGGCGGCACCTGCACCAAAGCCCAAGACAAAGAAGAGCAAGAAGTCCAAGAAGGACAACGTCGATGGAGTGAATGATGAGACGCAGTAGGCTCTTCTCACCATGAGACATGAGACAAGACACTGAGCAACGAGGGTTGGATTTCTCTCATGTGTTTGTTTAAACTAAATGCCACAGCCGTGTTGGAGATGTAAGCCCTATAGATTGACAGTGTCGGTTTTGAACGATGCACAGGCACAGACCCATCCGAGAGCAGTCAAAAGCTGTTCGCGTCAGTTTGAATGACGCTTGACTTTCTGCTTTGACATAGGATGGCATGTGTTCTCACCGTTGCCTTTTTCTGACTTCAAGCCATTTCTGGAACACTGTTAGTTATCAACCCATTCCGATGTTTCGTTTCGTCCTCGGATGTCTGAAGCAAACGGTGCTGACGGTGGTAGACTTCATCATGGTGAAGCTGGGCAGACGTGAGCGTCTCTCCGAAGAAGAGCAGTATGCCTTGGACTACATGACGTTTCTGAAAGACCACCGCGACATGTTCAGTGAACCGGCTAGTGTGCCAACTGTTCATGAGAAACAGCCAGTCCTTGAGATGTTTGACTGGATTGACTGACCTTCATGTATAGACTCCCTGAATGAGACTTGCAACAGCATAGAGCAAGTTCAGGATGCAGAGAAAAATCATGGACCATATGATTGTCAGTTTGAGACAAGGTTCTTGATACGTTGCTGTTTTGTAGCTTGAAAGCCTTTGTCCCCGCTGTTTTATCAATCAGTGGTTTTGTCATAGTTGTTTCCTGACTGAAGCCTCTCATCATGTCGTCTGCTGATGGCGCAGTCGACTTGAAGCAGACGAAGAAGGAGCACTGGACTCAAAGAGTGAATAGGGAAAACAGAGAACTTCGGGTGCTCAACAACAAACTGGTGGAGGAGTTGAGGAAGCAGGGGTCAGACATCGTCATTCAAGTTGGACCTTCATCATCATCCGCAACTGCTTTGGGAAGCCAAGGCGGTGAAGGTGATGAACAGCGTCCTTCAGAGGATGAGGGCGACAGCAGTGATGACTCGGACGACCCCGACGACTTTGATGACCCTTTCACGTCCATGGAGAAAAAGCGCATGGTGGTGAATGTGAAGTGTGGCTTTGATGAGAGGCGTCAGGGTGTCTTCCATGTGTGTGAGAAGTGGCAGGTGAAGCATCTCTCCTACATCATTGCCGATAAGTGGGGCATCAAGCCGAAGTTTCAGAGGTATGTGAACAACAAGGACGACCCCATCAACAAGGTGCTGACCTTCAAAGAGAACCAGATTGAAGACGGGGACACTCTCCAGATGCTCCTGAGCATTGGTGGCGGTGGCCTTGTGCGTCCTCACTTGACGAAGGAGCAGAAGGTTCAGAAGTTGAAGGACAAAGCCAGAGACTTCATCAACAGAACCGGTAGGGACAACAAGAAACAGAGTGACGAGGATGACTTCGTCTTTGACGTGAACATCGTCGCCCCTGAAATCAAAACCTTCTTGGAAACCCATCGTCAGAAGATGGACGAGGTTGCCTTCATTCAGTCTCAGGGTCGCTGTGTCATCACTTTGGCCATCAAAGGCACGGAGACGGAAAAGCTTCAGACCATCAAGGAGTTGATGGAGAGGCCTATGAGGAACAGAGATGACACTTCTGAGACACGCATCTTGAAGTCGATGGTGATGATGTTCCCGACTTTGAACCTCATAGAAGAGAGCATGAGGGCAATGAGGGCAACTCAAAGAGACCTAGCAGTCATGAGTGTCAACATGTATATCAACAAATTTCATGAGGAGCACGGCAATGATGTTCGATACACTCATGCTTCATTCGTCAAAGAGATTGAGAAAGAGATGTTGGTGCGTGAGATGAGAAACAATCCAGCCAGTGAGCAGGTTGGTGGAGATGGTAATGCCTCCAGTTGTGCCATGTCGTAGGGACAGATTTGTCGGCTTTGACATTGGACGGCATGTGAAAAAAAGTGAACAACAGGGTGTGTGTGTGTGGGAAAGGTGAGACAGGACTTCGTTTGAAGGTAGGCTACTGCCACTTTTGCGGGTAGGCTACTGCCACTTTTGCGGGTAGGCTACCGCCACTTTTGTGGGTAGGCTACCGCCAGTTTTGTAGGTAGGCTACCGCCAGTTTTGTAGGTAGGCTACCGCCAGTTTTGTAGGTAGGCTACTACCACTTTTGCGGGCCCGTCTGAGGTTGAGAAGTCATCATGCGAACCTGCTACAAGACTGAACCCTGCAAGGCCTGGCGGACTGGTGGGAAAGGAAAAAGGGGAGGAAAAAAAAAATAAAAAAGCTCCTGTTTCAACTAACGTTGTCTCTTTTTTTTTTCCCTGTTGAACCCCAACAACCCTACCAACCCTACCAACCCTACCAACCCTACCAACCCTACCAACCCTACCAACCCTACCGACCCCGCATCCATCCCGCTTGTCAGAAGGTCCGACCTCATTCACATCTTAGGCGGGTTTCTCGGGTACGGGATAATAACAATCCTAATAAAACCATATACAAACCAGTATAAATACAAAAAAAAAACAAAAAAAAAACAAACAAACTATAAAACAAGGCGAAACTCTCGCGATTTTTTTTATTTTGAGGTCTCTCCCAAACCCATTTGTTTGTAAATGTTCGGTTATTTGGTCCTTTTCTTGTTTTTCAAAACCCTTGTTTTTCCCCATGAAATCCATCAAAATTAAAAAACATAACGAAACATAAAATCACCAAAACGGAGTTGAGAAAATCAAGAACTTTCAAATTTGCGACCAAACCTGAGAGCCCGAGCCTGTCCCTGAAAATAATTCTAATAATTTCATATTATTAGAACTATTTAGATAATTATTGAAAATAATTCTTCGCAAACCGTCCTCAAATGATATGTCCCCAAACACCCCTTTTGGGGACGTATCATTTTACCTAATGCTGTAATGCC